CCCGGCGGCCCAGTCTAAGCTTGTCTATATATCTAGATTTAGAAATATAAATATTTTTAGCAAAATAATTTGAAAAGTTCATAGTTGACTCAACATAGTTTAATTACGATTCAATAACTTTTTAGTTAAACTACAGTTAAGCGGCCTAAAATAATTTTATTTTTTACCTTGTTGTACTCACACCAGTGGAGACATTTTAAACATGACAAATATTTATTGGCTTTGATTATTTTATAGTCTGCTACTACAAGGGAATGTGCTGCATCATCAACTGAGGGTTCAGCATAAATAAGTTAAATAAGTTTTTGATTTGACCAAATGTCGAACTTTCAAATTAACTTTTACTCTAAAGTTTCTTTTTTAAAATGCTTTCATTTGAAATTATAAAGAGTTGCCAATAATGATGCTATTGAGCTGATTTTTATATAAGTATGTAGCTTATTCCTAACTATCTGCTTCTTTTATAATAACTCCGTTTCATAGATTTGATAACTTTTCTTATTTTGGTATTTTATGCGACAAAAAATTCAAAGAAAAAAGTTTTATTTATTAGATTTAATAGTATTGATGTTTTATTTTTAGAGTTATGATAATTAATGTGCCACAGCATAAATGCAGCAAATGTTAATGAAGCTATGGCAAAAATGAAAATAATGTTGAAACAAGAATGTCAAATCTCAAGTCAAATGATTCATCTTAATCTGTTAAGTTTACACTTAAGCGAATAAGTTATTAATATTTTTGCTTTCAGTGTTCAAGTAAATGAAAGGTTTTTTCCTCTTATTTTTACTATTACTAATGACTAGAATTACTGAGTTTTATAAGATAAAAGAAATAGTTTCTGAGTATAAAAAATATTTTGAAAGATTGAGAGGCATTTTAATAGCACATATAACAAATGTCAAATAAAAATTAGCGCAAAATTAATACAATACCTTAATTGATGGTTGGTTTATCGTTATATCCTCGAGTATTAATACTTTTTTAGCACAATATATCCAGTTACCTGCTTTTATATTCTTAGTTTATTTCTAGATATCGGTCTAAATCTGCAGAACTGCCTTATTTATTCAAATTTGTTGAGTTTTCTTCTTAATTTAGTTTGCAGGTCTTCCAACATTTTTAGTGCTCCCCAACATATACACCTAACAGGTACCAGGTAGTAATTCAAATGCAGACTCCTTATTTTATTCTCTGCATCCTTCTTGTTTGTGTTGCAGTTAGATAAACAGATTTTACTTGGATTTTGTCAATAATGAAAAACATTATATTTGGGTTTCAACTTAAATGTTTTAAATATTATATGTTAGTAATGTTAAATATTATATGTTCAATCTTAAATGTTTTAATAAGATAATTATAATGTGCTTCTCTTTTGAAAGTTACTTTTTTGTAATCACACTGTGGCAACATTTTCAAGTCATCTATTTATAATAAAATGTTAAGTTAATCAAAGCGTATTTTATACTTTATTTAAAATCTGCTGTAAAGTAAATTAAATATACAATCATAAATTATATCTCAAGACATGAAATTAGGAATGCAGTTTTGATCCATAATGTTCCAATTACAACAAGTAAGCATCCTAGACGCGGTTGTAGTTGTATATTTTCTTTGTGATATTGATTATATTTTAGTTCACAAAGTTTTAAAAAGTTAGTCTATCTCTCTAAGGTTTGACTTCAGGTTTATTCGTCACTAGGAAAATGGATGAAATTGTAATATGATAACCATGTTGTGTATAATGTTGTGACCATGTTTTGTATATGTTGCTACTATGTTGTATAAGTATATATGTAATAAATTAACAAATTGTACATATATTGTTTTATTTTTTATTTTATTGAATATAAAATGGATGCATGCACTAAAAAAAAAAACGTTACAAATGGAACCAGAAATTTATAACTAACCATTTTAGCGATTGGATATTAATCGCGAAAAAGCGCCATTGTTGAATGGTTATAAATCAAATCATTGTTTAATGGCTGTTTTTTGTCGCGTAAATATATTTTGAAATTCAAGTCTGTTTATCAAATTTATTCGTAAAAATTAAAAATGTTAATAATAATATATCTAATACATTTTACTGTCCTTAAACTAATAAAAAATACGCCAATTTTTAAATTAAAAAATTATATCCGATTCTGCTTAAAACAACTTCAAATAATTAAGAAAACAGGGTCTAAAATAAAAAATATTTAGGCTTCAAATAGGATTGCTCAATTAACTCTCATAACAATATCATGCGCAATCTGGTTAGTTACCGATGACAACATCACGATGGTGCGGTGTGTAGTAATGGCTAATCTTTTTGCCAATACTTGTCCTGCAATGACTTGTTGCTGTTTTGCCACGACTGGTCTATGAAAATTGTTATAGCGAAACGGAGCTTTGTCGAAGTCGGCAGCAGCAGCTGGTCCAGCCCAACAGCCTATACAGGACAAGTACAGGACCATTGTATCCTTGCTGTCTGAATATTATATTTAATAAGGAAAATGATTGTAATTGAAATTCTTTTATAAGTATTTTGTAAGATTGTATAAAGGTATATTGAAATAGTAATGTCTAAAAAATTTCATTGGCTGAGTACATTGGTTTTTTCAAGTTCTTCAAAAACAGAAAAAATATTTCCTGCTTGATTTAATAAAAAGGCACGAAAATTTTCAAACATAATTTTACGAGTTAAGGTACCATTATGAGCACTAGTAACCCACTGGGGTAAAGGTATTGGACAACCCTTGTAAAATAGTTTTACGTGTAAGCTATCATCAACTCTTATTCACTCGATAACTTTCGGTATAGAAATCTCATTAAAAAATATTTTTTTTAACGCAATATAATAATTATGTTTTAGCATTTGATAGCCATTTGAGCACGGACAACCAGCAACACAATTTATGTTTTGTATTACCGGGTTTTAGTCTTTTGGACTGGGCCGGGTCGGGTTTTAAGTACAAATGTAAAAAATATTTATACTTTTAAATAAATTTTTATACTTTTATAAAAATTTTATACATTTTTATTTGAAATCTTTTTTTTGCAGAAATTACACATAAAGGTATATTTTACCTCGATGTACAAGCAATTGATATAGAACCAATGTTACCTCTGTAAGATCATCACTAACAGAATATTTTAGCTCAAATGCCATGGCAACAATGTATTTAGTTAAGAGCACAATTTTGCAGAAAATAGAACTTTTGTTGAATTATGAACTTAATCTTTTATTAGTATTAGACTTACTCGTGTTTTAAGATAAAATAAGCAAATTTGTCAATTAATCATTTTTTTAAATTTATTTAAATTATATTTTTCTAATTCTATCTGTTTACTAGATTCTTCTTCATTAATCATACTTCTATTACTTGTACATTGGTCTACAACATTTGTTATATTACTGTTGTTGTTTTTTTGTATCTCTGTTGTTATTATTTTAAAACCAACATTAGTTATAGTATTTATGTGATCAATGTAAACAATTAATTTTATAAAAAAAAACATACTCTTTGCTGATATTAGTTTGTCCTGAGTCTGAAAATGTACCTTGACTGAAGGTGTACCTTAAAAATATGTTTTTGCACTGGTAATACACAAACAGTTAACCTGTCGTGTGTGCTTTTTGTATGAAGATTTCATATCTGTTGCACTGTATGACTTGCAAATTTACCATGAAATAGACTGTCCATCAAGAAATCCTCAGGTTTATAACCATATATTGATATTGCTACCAGTGATTACAACCATTATAGAAAACGTAAACAAATAGTTTATTCATATGCGTACTTAAAGCAAAATTTTGTCCAACCATAGTGCCATGAAGGCCATTTACTTCTTTGAATTGCTCTTTCATCATATTTTGATATATGTTCATCACATTTTCAGAGGCTATTCATTGTTTAATATATCTGAAAAGTCTTATCAAGATTATTTTTACTTATGCAATTCCTTCATATGTTTTTATATAATCCTCATCACAGAAATCGACCATGTTATTATATGTATTTATATAATCCTCATCACAGAAATCGACCATGTTATTATCTGTAAATCAAAGTTTTTCTAGTCTATCAATTCAATATTTAAAATTTAAACACCAAAACTTAAATGAGCAAAAAACTCAAGCCATCAGAGTTTATGGGTGGGTTTTCGATTTTTCAAAATCAAAATTATTCTAATATAATTATCTTTACATATGTATTTATTTAAATTTAAATAAATACAGATGTAAAGTATTCGATTAAATTTACTACTCTTACAACTATATTTATTTACTATTATTAAGTCAAGAAAAAGTAGCTGAGAAATAGTTGAATGAAGACTATCACAAACTTACGCTTGTCTACTATGCATTTAAGCTAAAAGATGCTAGTTATTTTCCAACATATTTATTTAATGATAGTGCAAAAAGCACAACATCAGCAACAAACGGTGGAGAATTACAGAAATAAAGGAATTTATTGAAAGATTTTTCTCATCTTTTAGCATTATTGAGAGTAAATTTAGGAAAAGAAATGGCTGAAATGCTTGACATATTTAAAGACATTTTAGATCAAGATGTAAAATTGCTAATGACTAAAATTTCAGATGACTTTATCTTTTTTTAAATTTTTAAGTTTGAATATAACTTCTCCAAGTCAAATAAAATTCTCATTTATGACTCATCAAATTCCTTTTTTTATAATCAGTAGAACAATTGTTAAGTAGTATTAAATCTTTTAAATAAAAAATTATAAATAAATAAAATACTCTGGCCTAAACCCCATTTTATTAGGTTTTTATTGGGTTTTTGCTGTTAAGGTTTTGGGTGAGTTTTTGGGTTTGGGTTCTTGGGATCCAGCCCTGTGCTAAATTGCATAATGTCGTTCTTATGCGAATGCGGTTGGCCCTACAACATAATTAATGCTGTTGTACCAACTAACATAAAATGCAGCCCAAAAGTACAGACATATTGTAAAGCTGTGCCAAACATTTTAGCATAAGAACAAAAAAAATATTAATTATAACATCTTAACAATATACTTTAAATAAAGTTTCTTTTAAAACTTAACAACTTCATTTTTTTTTTCCAAGACTCCAAACTTTAATAGCAGCGGGTAAGTATTGAAGTAACTTTCTACCACGGAGCCTGCGAAAAAATCGTCGAAGTGGTCTTGCATCGTTAACATTTTCTAAACAACGGCATAAAAATTACATCCTTACTTTTAAAAAATTTTAGTTCATCATAATTGAGTTAATTAAAACAAAAATGAAAAACTATTACCCTGAACGTTATCGTCAAACTCGTTATCGTCTTCCTCAAGATCTTTTAAAATTTCGTTTTCCACTTCATTTTTTAATTCTTCTTTAATATCTTCATAATCTTAATTTACATTGTTATTTGCTTTAATTATTAGATTTAAACTTGTAACTTTTTTTATGGTCAATTTTTTAAAAATTTCAGAAACGTGAAAAATAAAAGGATTTTTACATTTAAAATTACTATTATAAAACAAAGTTGCATATCTAATGGTCTACTCATAAATCATTTGAAAATACAAGCTATTTAAAAATATATTAAACATTTACTTACTTTTGGAGTATGTTAAAGCAATTATTGCAAGAAACAAAACTGCAAATGTTGACCTCATGTTGCCAAATACTTAAGAAAAAACAAAAATCTGATTTTATACCGGAAAATTTGAAAAAGGGCGTAATATTATTCTTCACAGTTATTAGTTTATTAGGTACTTAATAACATAAATTTAGGCAACGCTCGACAAGGAAAACAGACAACTTGCTTATTTTATAAAATGGTCTTAAACGATGTTTATATGTAATCTTATAATAAATAATATTGTTTTCCATAAATAAAAAGTTTAACAACAACAGTGACAAATACAAGTTTTAAAAGAATTTAAAGATTTGAAATATTCTTATTTTTTACCCCCGCTTTATTCTCAATTTTAACCACCGATTCTAAGAATAAAAAGAAAATTTAATAATCTCCATTACATTCTTTATACAAATATACGTAAAATAAAAGAAAAATAATTCCAACGATGAATTATTTATAATAATAAAGTACGTGGAAACTCGAAGAAAAGATCATATTACCAAAAACAGCTAAAACTATAAGGTAAATTATCCTAACTTCGGTCAACATTCAAAAAGTCAAATTTTTTTTTGAAGGAAACATTTTTTTTTCATAAAATTTTTTTTTCGATAGATAAAAGACTTTATTTTTGATAATATCTAAAAAATACGCAGTTTTATATAATATTTGTTTCTTAAAATTATTTTAACAAGTAACATTTTTTGACCGGATTTATATATATTTTTAACTAATGTCGATCACAATTTTAACCTATGAGAAAATAATAAAAATAGAGAAAACCAGTTTATGGTAATAAACTAAAAGTGCCTACGCTTTTAATCTTTTTATCTAACATTTTATGATATTTTTTTAAATTTAGTGTCTTCTTTCTTTTATAATTGACCCATTGCCCTCCCATCTTATATACGCCATTTGCAGACCCTCTCTCCCCCTCCGAGCGTACTTACTTTATGGACGATCCCATATGTTTGGTCTAAAAGTTTCTGTTTTTAATCTGCTGATTTTCATATTATCACTGTTATCAAGAAATTTTTATATAATTTTATCTTATATTTATTACCCATCTTTTTTTAATTTTTAAATGCACAGTTTTTATATTTTATTATTATTTAGAAAAAACATTTTTCTTTTCTTTCACTTAACATGAACTCTTGGTATTATGGTTTTGCTCCCCAAGAAGCGTCATAACCTCCCCAAGGAGCGTCATGACCGAGGGTAAGGTGAGTTTGGGAGGAAGGAAGTTATGATAGAGCGATAGGCAAAAGTAGTCGACTTAGAAAGATAGCATCGAGAAAGCACACAAAAATGCAGAACGTAGTGTTATTAAAAACTTTACAGCGGATATTTAAAAAAGTGGTCTAGTACACATTGGACGTCCTAAGATATCTAATAGACGTCCAATGCCCACTGGTTAAGTTATGAAATACCAGCTCATAATATTGAAAGCATAATGCAGTTCATTGACTACAAATTATTTGACCATTAGTTTTTTAAAATAAAAGATTTATTTATTATAGTTGCAACTGCTAAAATAGTAGAGATATGAGGCGAGATTTATTTAGAATATGCGCATTGTTTACAAGAATAAACCGCTCAAAGATCCTAATGTTTTGATTATTTCAAGCACCCCATCAATTTATAATACCCTAAACAGAGCTAATTTCATTACAATTTCAGTTCAAATAACAAAAGTTTTTAATAATTTTATTTTGGAGTCTACTTTAATTCAAGTTTACATATTTGTTTAAAGGATGTAATAAAAAACTATTAAAAAATAAATTTTTTAATAAGGTTTATTAAATAACGGGGGTTAAAAAGATGAATATATGAAATCTTTCCATTTATTATAAACAATTTCTATTTTCTGAAATTGTGTTTTTATGGCAAAGGTATTCTTGATGTTTGTACAAAAAATGATGAAATAAAGATTGTCAAACTTAAAACACGCTTTAAAGCCATTTCATAAACTAAGCAAGTTGCCTAATTTTGTCGTTGAACGTCACATATACTTTTGTTATTAAGTACATAATGTGCCATCAACTGTGCAGAATAATATCACAAGATTTTCAAAATATTTCCAGTACAAAATCAAAATTTTGTTCTTTCTCAAATAATTGACAAAATGAGGTCAGCGTTTGCTGTTTTGTTTGCGTTAATGCATTAATTGCGTAAACATACTCCAAAAGTAAGTAAAGTTTAAGAATATTCTTAACTACTTTGTGTTTTCAAGTACTAGAATATTCTTAATTACTTTGTGTTTTCAAGGCCATTAAAAATACAACTTTGTTTATAATAGTAATTTTCTATGTCAAAAACTCTTTTAAGTTTTATACTTTTTATAATTGTTTGCAAAAAAATGAATAAATGAAAAAAGCTATTTTTTTCATACTAAGTGACTTAAATAGTATTTAGATTATCAAGATGTATTTAGATTATCAAGATGTTAAAGAAGAAATAAAAAATGAAGTTGAAAACGAAATTTTAAGATAAAGACAGATGACGAGTTAGATGATAATGCTTAGGGTAACCATTTTTCAACTATAATTAACCAAAAAAAAGCTAAATGAAGTATTTTTAAAAACGTATGCATAAAACGTGCTTATATTTAGAAGCAGTTAACGATGCGAGGCCGTTGCGACGATTTTTTCGCAAGTTTCGCGATAGGAAGATTCTTTCGTACATGCCTTATTATATTTATACATGCTCTTATAAATATTTGGAAAGCTGGAAAAAAATAATAAAGTTGCTCTATTTCGAAAACTTTAAAACAAAACATTATCTAGATGATATAATTAAAATATTTTATTTGAAAATTTTTTTGTGTAAACAAAAGTTGAGAAATTTTTAATGTACCAAAAGTTAAAAACCTTACTGACGTTATTAAATGTGTAGAGTGTCAGTTTTTGGTCCACTCCTTTTCTTTCTTTATTTAAATGATTTGAAAAGTGCAATAACAAAGCTTAACTCTATTTACTAGCGATATTTCTTCCCTTTAAATAGTGACAGGCAACTTCTTAAAGAAAAAAAAATTTAAATCAAGGAAATTCAATGAATGATTACGGATAAGTAAAGTTTCTCTCAACGTGGACGAAGCGAAATATACTTTTTCTATAAAATATCGCAAGAAGAAAATCTTTCGTTAAATTACTGGATCTGATGTTAAAAAGTTGTCAAAAATCGCATATTTTGCAAATGTCAAAAATTGCATATTTTGTGGCGACTAGACATGTTTTATTCTGAGGAAATAATTACTTTTTGAAAGTTTTTTTTTTTTTTTTTTTTTAATAACAAAAAATAAACTTATTAAATGGAAAAGAAAAATATTGTTGTTCGAAAGAAATCTAACGAAACGGGGAATATAGATGAAACACAAATTCCAACAAATGTTGTTCGAGATATTTTCCATGAAATGTTTTCAAAACAGCAGAAAGATATCTTTAAGCTTATATATATAAGCTTATAAGTGGTAACCTAAAAATAACTAACGATAAAATAAACGAGCTACTTGATGAAATTCATAAATCAAAACAAATTTGCGAATCATTAAAAAAGGAAAACGAAAAGGTAAACATTAAACTTAAAGAAATTACAGAGAAAGTAAGAATCTTAGAAAAGACAAATAAAGATATCGAAGAAAGCTTAACAGTTACACAAGACATTCAAGAAAAAAAGGTATGCGAATTAGAAAAGAAAATTAAAAAAAAAAATATTATAGGCGAGGAGGAAAAGAATAAACTACGACAGCTAGAAGATAGACTCAGAAGGAATAATCTTCGCATCGACGGGCTATCCGAAAACAATCAAGAAACTTGGGATGAAACTGAAAAAAAATTATTAATTTTATTTAAAAACAAATTAAATATTAGGAACGTTGATATCGAGAGGGCTCACAGAGTTGGAAAAAATAAAGAAAATAAAACTAGAACAATTGCTGTTAAAATACTACATTACAAAGAAAAAATAAAAGTACTAAATTCATCTAATCGACTTAAGGGAACAGGAATATACATCAACGAAGACTTCTCTTTTGAAACAACGGTCATAAGAAAAAATCTCTTAGAAGAAATGAAGATACACAGAAAAAATGGTAAATATTCTTCTTTAAAATATGATAAACTTATAGTTAGAGAATTTAGGAAAATCAAAGCAAGTGCTTAATTACTTTATCATTTATATTAAGAATTTTTTTTTTTTTTTTATTATTATTATTAATTTTTCTTTTTCAGTAAAATAATAATTGAACAGTTTATAAAAAATACCCTACTCATGAATGAAGATAATGTTACACTTAACTCAGAATTTAATTCATTACAAAATAAAAGTAATATACTTCTAGATAACAATTCTAGATAACAATTCTGATCCGGATATTAATTTTTATAGTAATAACAAAGTATTTCAAAATATTAATACTTTATATTATGACCCTACATCTGAAATCATAATGCAAGGACTAGATGTAAATTCATTTTCAATGTTACATTTAAATATTAGGAGTTTTTCAAAAAATTTTGAATTATTTAAACAATTTTTATGCGAGGTTAAATTTAATTTTAAAATTATTAGTCTCAGCGAGACATGGTGTAATAATGAACATATAGAGACAAATTTTCAGCTACCAAACTATAAAGTCATTCATCAATTTAGAGGATCTGGGAAGAAAGGAGGAAGTTTGTGTGTATTTATAAGTAATTCTTTATTATACAAGCTAAAAAAAGATTTTTGCTCCACCGCTAATGATTGTGAATCACTATGTTTGGAAATAATAAATAAAACCACAAAAAACATTATCATCCACGTTTTATACAGACCACCTTCCGGCTCAATAAAACAATTCGAAAAGCACATTAAAAACATAATTAAAAATAAAATAAGCGAAAATAAAAGCATTATTTTGGATTTTAACCTTGACCTGAACATGACTCATTTAAATACAAACATAAATAATTTCTTTAACGTCATATATCAGAAAGGTTTTATTCCACTAATTAATAAACCCACAAGAATAACTAGAGAAAGCACAACTATCATAGATCAAATAGTCACCAATGAATTAAAATCAAAAATAAAAACAGGAATATTTAAACGCGACATTTCAGATCATTTTCCTGTATTTCTTATTTCACAAAAATGTGATAACATTTATGCACAAAAAGTTAAAAAAAATACGCAATATATAAATGAAAAATCCATGGAAAATTTCAATACTCTTTTATCAGATTTAAAGGATGACCTCCTGGATATTGAACACGTGACCTCCTGGATATTGAACACGTGACCTCCTGGATATTGAACACGTGACCTCCTGGATATTGAACACGTGACCTCCTGGATATTGAACACGTGACCTCCTGGATATTGAACACGTAGATAAAGCATACAATAAGTTTATTGATAAATTACAACAACTTTACATTTCGGCTTTTCCTGTAGTTACAAAATGTGTGAAAAAAAAAACATTATTAAATCCATGGATAACGCCTGGAATTATAAAGTAGTCGAAAAGAAAGCAACAACTTTAAAATAAGTTTCTAAAAAAAAAAAACTTTCAATAATGAAACTAATTACAAAAATTATAAACGTATTTTTGAGATGGTTATCAAAAAATCAAAGAAATATTACTATACTGAGCATTTAATAAAACATAGAAATGATCCAAAAAAAACTTGGGACACAATTAAGAAAGTAATTGGCACGAAACAAAATGACGGAAATAGTCTTCCTATAAAACTAAGCATTAAAAATAAAACTATTACAAATAAATCCTTAATTGCTGAAACACTTAATAAATATTTTGTCAGTGTTGGTTTCACTTTAGCGTCGAAAATAGAAACTACTGAAGTAAAGTTTGAGTCATATCTTACTCCAAATGAGACCTCTAAGATAATTATGAAATTACTGAAAAGGAACTCTTAGATTCAGTATACTTTTTAAAACTAAACAAAAGTGTGGGGATTGATAATATTAGTAGTAATGTAATTGAAAAATCAATAAAGTACTTAACAATCCCTCTTTTACATATTTTTAATCTCTCTTTAAAACAGGCATTTATCCGGAAAAACTAAAAATTGCAAGGGTCATACCTATTTTCAAGTCAGGAGACATATTTAATCCTGAAAATTACAGACCAATATCAATTTTTCCTTGCTTCTCCAAAATCTTAGAGCGAATTATGTATAACCGAATTTAGACTTTTATTAATTTTTCTAAATATAAATAATATTCTATATAACAAACAACCCAGTAAGCACAGAACGTTTTTAAAACGTTTAAAAAACCTATGAAAACGTTTTTTAACGTTTTTTAAACGTTTTAAAAATGATCTGTGCTTACTGGGAATTTGGTTTTTAACCAGGGTATTCAACTAACCATGCCATTATTAATATTTTTTACGATATATTTAAAGGATTTGATGAAAGTAAGTTTACCCTAGGAGTTTCTATAGATCTTAGCAAAGCCTTTAGTAGACCATAACATTCTTATAAAAAAACTCAAAAGTTATGGTATTAAAAGTACATATTTAGAATGGCTTAAAAGTTATCTAAACAATAGAAAACAATACATAGCACACGAAGAAATAAAAACTGAATACTTGACTATTACTTGCGGTGTTCCCCAAGTATCAATTCTGGGTCCACTTTTATTTCTTATTTATTTAAACAATTTCCATAAGTTTTCAAACATTTTAAACTCAGTTTTATTTGCAGATGATACAAATTTATTTTATTCTAATGGAGATATCAACCTCTTATTTAAAAAAGTAAACAAGGAATTTTTAAATCTAGCGGAATGGTTTAAGGCAAACATATTGTCCTTAAATTTAAATAAAACTAAGTATACTTTTTTTCATAGACTTCACGATAAAGAAAATATTCCATTAAAATTTCCTGATCTTTACATTGGCAACTCTAAAATAGTTAGAGAGTCATCATTAAAGTTTTTAGGAGTGATACTTGACGAAAACATGACATGGAGAGAACACATAAAAACAATTGAAAATAAAACTTCGAAAAATATTGGTATACTATACAAAGCTAAGCAAATCTTAAACCAAAACTGCTTAAAAATCTTATAATTCTCCCTCATACATTGTTATATAAACTATGCAAATATTGCATGGTGTAGCTCTAATCAGTGCCGTGCCAGACAGTTGGTAGGCCCCCCCCCCCCAAAAAAAATCTTGGGCCCTTGTAACAGTTCAAGCCCGTCCCCCGGTTAAGGAGGGGGTAATTTGTTTTTTAAATCACTCCTTCCTCACCGCCCCACCCGCACCCCCTAAGAACTGTCAACCTTTAAAGTTTTATCGATAAAATTAAAAAGTAAGAAGAAAAAAAAAAAATTGTAATTAAATAATAATTTGATGTTTTGTAGTTTAACTAAACGCTGTGTCTAGCGCAACGGTACTGTTGCTTTAATTTTTGTGCCTAAAGTCACTAATAGTCATTGTGACTATTAATGAACCAATCGGAATTCAGCAAGTAGCGAAATCTGATTGTTTCTTTTTATAGGTTGCAAATATATACTTGAATACTGATATAGGGGTAAACACAATTTAGTGTACACACGTCTACTGACTATCTAGAAATTGGCGAAGTGGAGTGTGTATACATCGACTGACTATCTAAGGATTGGTGTAGTGGAACGTACATACATAGACGGAGGGTTTTGGCCTGGGCAGGCAATCTTTTGAATAAAAGATTGCTTTTTAAATTAAAAATTGGCAGTTGTATCTTTGCGCTGCGTAGACTAATTTAGTAATACAAAGCATCTTTTTCATAAGATTTAACTTAAACTAAGCTAAACAAAACTTTCTAAACGAAATTTTTACTAAAATAAAACGTCCACTAACTCAGCAATTCAATCAATGGCGGATCCAGGTCTCTGATTGGTCCTAATGGAGGATAGTCGGAACAACAACAAAAAAAAGGGCCCTATTTTTTAGGTTAAACAACTATTTCATTTGATCATTTACAATGTTTATATATTGGCAAATATATACAGTTCAATCTCTCTAATTCGAACAAAAATGGGGAAAATAAAAAATCGAATTAGAGTGATTTTAGAATTACAGAAAGTTTTTTTTTTATTTTACAGTGACTTTGCATTTAATCGATTTATGGAGGTTTTCAAAATAAGGAGATTCGAATTAGAGAGATTATACGGTATATATATTAAATGTGTGTATAACTTTAAAACAGCATTTTTTTAATTTTCCTTTTTTGTTTTTAATTTTTATTAATAAAAATGTAAAGTTTGATAGTTCTTTGGGGGCTAATCCCCACCCCTTCCTTTGTATTCGCCAGTCAACACAATCATCATTGTATGCCAAAAGCCCCCCCCCCCCAACCGGGGGGTCTGGGGGGCTTTTGGCACGGCACTGGCTCTAATGTAAGTAAAGTTAAAAAATTGCTTAGTAGACAAAAACACGCAGTCAGGATTATTTCAAATGCAGGTCGATTCGCACATTCTAAAGAACTATTCAAAAATCATCACATACTCAATGTTCTTCAGTTAAACCTTTATCAAATTCTTATTTTTATGTACAAACTACATAATAAATTAACTCCTATAATTTTTAATACATTTTTCAATAAAATTATTCACGTGTACCCTACAAGATTTTCAAATTACAATTACGAGCAACCTAAAATACACTATTTGGCTACTAAATTTTCTATTGCCATCAGAGGTCCTAAATTACGGAACACTTTATTAAATAACAAGCTGAAAAATTGTTCTTCACTTTCTCTATTTAAACAAAAACTCAAACAAAAACTTCTTAACGATGTTAATGAATTAAATTCTTTTTAAGATTCTTTTATCTTCTTTTTTAACAACTATCTTATTAACTAGTCTAACCAATTTAAATTTTCTTTAATTATCCTATTAGCTTATCTTCAGTTTTTAAGTGTGATTGCTTTTTTTTTTTTTTTTTTTTTTTTTTTTTTTTTTGTTTTCACAATTTTCTTTTGATTATAGATTAGTAACTGATCTTAACATATTTGTATATATTTGTATATAATTTTTAAATGGTACAAAGTAATTTGTTGTTTTATGTTTACATTTTAATGGTTATACACGCTTGCTGATGAAAGCACGTCGGGGTGTAGTGATAAATCAAATATTGTCTTCTTTTAGCCCCGGTCATGTAGATTTTGTTTACATAACACGGCATTATATTCTTTTTTTAATGACAAATAAAAAAATAAAAAAAAACTAATGGTAAAAAATGAGTTCATATAAAGTTTTAGGAATTCTTATTGATAAATATAATTTATGTGGGTAAGCCGTACATAAATTCTATTCCATTAAGAACAAAACAAAAAAACAATTGGTTTGACCTCAATACATAATTTCACAGTCTGAAAATAAATATTTATTTTATTCTTTTTTTTTTTCAAGTTTACATTCATTGCCATAGTAAATAAATCACTTCTAAAAAAGATCATTTTTTATAACGTTTTACAATCATGCGTATACTATATATACCTTTTTATGGTAAAAATGACTTTATTTTAATGACCAGTTATTGATGTTGTACAATAAAAATGTTCCAAAATAAAGTACATAGTTACAACAAAATAAAGTACATAGTTACAACATAGTCATAAAAAGTTTAGTCTGGAAAAGCAGGCCGTTTTCAATTGTTTTTAGTTTTTGAAAGTTGAAAATCGGGTGGTACGCGTAAATAAGGAGCAAAACAAACTTTAATGATAACTGAAAGTTATGAAGATTTCAATCATTTTAAAACCATTTTTAAGTTCCATCAAGACGAACTTGATTCTATTTTTACAGTTATTGACCAGGATTTGCTGTTTTGTTTTTGTGTTTTTGCTGAAAAACAACATGCTTCAAATATACCACAAATAACATTTTTCTGTATATTTTGTAACAAAAAATGTTTGAACTTTAGGGGTTTCTACATTACATGGATTTGACCTATGTAACCGTGCCCAGTGGGCACCGGACCAAAGTAAGACGTCTTTTGAACGTTCAAAAGACGTTCAAATCGTACAAAAGACGTTAAAAAGACGTTCAAAACGTTTATAAGACATTTAAAAGACGTCGTTTTTACGTTCGTGCTCACTGGGTGTATTGTCGCATCTTTCTGGTCAATCAGTTTAGTGGGATACAATTTCATCTGGGAACGCTTATATACTTTCAGATAGGGGTCGACCTGTTATTGCCTATTTATGTAGGTATGTTTTTAGCACATTATATCGTTGTATCATGTTTTTAGATATTTATAAGGAAGAATACTCTCAACATTATATATCTATTTTACTTGCTGCTCATTGTCAAGATAACTATGAACAAGATATGTTAATTTCACATTTGGCAATCGGAAACAATTATCTGACATTATCTTAATTTTTAAAACAGCAATTTCTTAGCTACAAATGGTTAAAAACATTTTTGTGGTATCAGAGTATATAATACTAGTTTTTTATTAAATTGTTTTTTTTTTTCATAAGTAAAGGTTTTCTACTATCTAATTTATCAAATAAGGATTTTGCTTAAAAAAAAATTTAGTAATTGGGAGTTGAAATCAAAAGACGATTATATAAAATTTACAAACACTTTAATTTGTGGGGATTGGAAACTTTACACAGGAGGCATTCCATGAGAAAGTGGGACAGGTATGTAATCCACAAATCATATTTTCTTCATACTTTGTAAAAATGATCACCTATATAACATAGACTATCTTGCAAAATTTTAGAACTGATATCAAAGGGGTTTCGGAGATATTGTTACTTTAAAACCAGCTATTTTTATCAGTTTTTTTTATTCGGCGGCCATTTTGATTTTACTATAGTTTTTGTTTTACAAGTTACTGTTTAACTAAAGATGCAATTAAGCTGAAAATGAGTCCCATAATAGTTTATAGGACGAGGAATCAGAATATAATATTTGTTTTCAATTAAATTATTTAAAACTATATCAATATGGGGATTGTACTTCACCTAAAGATAGTTTTGAAATTTTAAGAGGCAAAAAGGAGGTTTGGTAACCACGGTAGCATAATTTTTTTGTGATTTTGTTTTAGTTTTTATTAAATAGATATTCTAATAAGTTTTTTAGTCAAAAATTTAGAGGTGGGCATTTTGAAAGTTTTT